TCTAGTTAATGCACTCAAATTTGGAGTTGAATATTTAAGCCACAGTTTTGAGTCCAGGGGAATTTTATCACGTTAACTAGTTCAATCTCTTTTCTGGACCAGTGAGGACTTTGTGAATATTTTCAGACTGGCAGCTAAAATTGATTGGAATGGTTTTGGTAAATCCAAAAGGATTTAGTTTTGTTTTGGAAAGTAAAAAAAAAAAAAAAAAGGAAAGAAAGAGATTTTATCTGAATATGAATCATATTCAAACTACATTCAGAGACAGTCTAAAATCTAATATCACACTGACATTTGATTTAAACTGTTCCTTAAGTCACTCACAATGCACCACACTCAGTGATGTCACTACCAGTGCACCAGTCAGCTGAATGTGACCTTAATACAAACCATGGCAGGATATATTTACTTTCTGTCATGTTTTGTGCATTATGAACTTCTGTACAATGTAAACAATATGACATTGAGCGGAGATATATTTATCAATTTAACTGATGGTGACTGAGACACCACAGACTTACAGAACATTTCAAACAGCTATGGCTTTAGGCAACACAACATTTTGCAACAATGATTGAAAGTCATACAAGGAAAAAATCCATTGCAGAAGAGGCAGCAATATCAATTTTTCAAGCTTTCGTAATGCATTTTTTTAAAGATACAGCACAATTCCAATTTCTGTCAAGTGGAAAAACTCTTTCCGCTGTGCTTATTGCCATTATCTCGGTTTCTAATCTCAAAAGCACTCAACAGTTGTACAGCCAAAGCTGAACTCCACAATGCTCTCTGGAGACGGTTAAAGAGCTTTCTGTCAAATGACAGAGTGAAGCAGACAAGGTAGACTGAGGTAAAGTCAGTATAACAGAGAAAATTACATTAGAAAATTACTCCTGGATGGCACTGAGCATCAAAGATTTATATTTAACCCATATTCAGATGTTGATGACCTAAATGACATTGATGCAGATTAACTGGCCACAAAGCTTACAGACTTAGATAATAGATTTATAGAATAATTCCCCAAAGAACAGTAGGAAATAGATGGAAAGAGGCAGAAAGACAGGAAATACATGATATGCAAAAACACCATATTATGAGGAAAAAAAACCAAAAACAGACATCCCTTCTTTTTACAAGCACACAAACAACATAAACTGAACATACCATTTACGCGGAAGGCCAGACCAACTGTAGCTGGGGCTTGAGGTCTGGCAGTCTGGTTGGTGAATCCACAGTCACCCAGAGTTTTGCTGTCTTCTAACAACTGGTCATCCTGTGAAGCAACAGTTGAAAATGTCACAGAATCCCCTAAAGGCCTCAAAATCTATGAATCCGCTTGAATGAATATGGAGACTTTGTCAGATATTTACAGGTAATATTTTAGTCACTGTTCTAAAACACAAGTAATGTGCCACCATTGTCATGAGATTGCAAACCTTCATTGCAGGTACTTTGATTAAACAAAAATTCATAATTAATATCTGATGCTGTAATGTTGTCAGGTATGTGACATGACTCAGTTTGGTGTCATTGATGTACTTGGCCCCCAAAACTCACTTTGTAAAGCCGCTGGTCTTCAGGTGGTCTTTTAAGGATTCCTTCAACAATACGCTTCAGCTCATAGACAGTAGTGGACTCCTTGGCATCTGTGAAGATTGTAGTCTTGTGACGTCGAATCATTAAGAACACGTCCTGAAAAGCAATGAGCATAAAATTGTATGGTTAAGAAAAACTATGTCAAAGGCAAATTGATTTGTTTTTTAATCTTGAAGATGAGAGCTTGGTAGTGGTTTTACAAAAACGTTAGTCAGTTTAAAAAGGATAGTTAATTCTGTGGCTCTGGTAACTTATAACCAAGTTGACTGACATTAACCCGTCTTTATCTGACAAGACATCGCAGTAGGTCATTAAAGTCTTTAACAACTGTCCATCTGGCTACTGTTTATAACACCTTCATAACCTGATGGACGCTGTGCGTGTTTTGTTAGCGTAGACATTTTAAGGAAATTTGAGTCTTTAGTTGGTTGTTTTGCCAAAGTGTCCGAATGCAGAAGAATGAACGCTACGGACAATTCATTGATTCATGAGCTAGCTGCAAACAGTGAGCAGTGGCAGGGAAACGAAGGTCTAGGCTAACGCGAAATTAGCCAACACGAAACAGCCTGGAGACTTTTGAGAGACAAAAATAGGCCTGACAGTTAGCTCTAAATTAATACACGTTGTAAGTCTAACAATGACAGTATATGTACAGTTGTTCTGACTAGGCTAACTGGGTTAAGTGTCCGACGTTACAACATTTCCAAGGTTAGCCAAGCTAAGATAAATTACCTCGCTACAACCTCTCCTTACAGATAGGAAGGCGAAGCTAACACAGCAAACTTAGCGTTAGCTGCCTAGCAAACACAAACTGAAATAAACAGTCCCATAATGCACAATATAATTTGTTATCACAACGTAAATCTTTTGAACAAAGCGTTTAACGTTAATTCAATTTTTGTATATAGGAATCAATCTCACAAAATTGTTGATAAGAATAATAGAGGTACCATTTCAAGTGGTCAGCTAGCTAGCCAGTTGCGCCAGCCCTGTGTTGAACCCCAGACTGCACCGCTTGCGGATATTGCGCAATTCAGATAAGCAGTCTGTATTCACTGAAGGCAGGTACGCAGCACTACGTATAATTTTCAGAATTTGGCGCCAGGTAGTTTCATGCTTGAAAGATGTACGTGTAGTTTGATCTGGACACAGCAACTATCTGAGTCATGAAGACCGCCTGACCTTAACACTGGATTATGGTTTGTGTGATAACGTTACTAACTTGTACTTTACCTAACGATGAAATGTCAGTTACAGTACGTTATTTGAATGTAAGTTAGATAGCTAGCTAATTTTGTTATGTTGTTATGTTGTTGAAGGCTGGGTCCGCCCTTAATTAACGTTTGCCAACACCATGGTGGTAACATTTGTCAGTGATAAAAACGAATAACTGCTCGGAATAACATTAATTAGCCAAAGCTAATTCGGTGACATATCGGAAATTTACATTACAATTCAAGACTGACGTTGTCAGACTTGTAACGTTAGCTCGGTAACGTTGCAGTCGACGGGTCTGTCCTACCTCTCAACGCCCATAGCTGTCTTCAGCTAGCAAGACCTGTTCTTCTTATGAGCTGACCATTAAAACATCTAGAGGACTGTATTGATACTGTGATTAGACAACTGGCCGAAAACCTGTCAAGCAGGGCGTTAAGCATGTCAGATCGTGTCAATGGGTGTGCCCAAGCTGGACTGAAAAGGCTTCATTTTATACTTTATACTTTTTATATTTATATTTTACTTTATAGCGCATGTGCCAGTGTAAATATGTCGTAGGGGAACATTTTCAGTTGTAAGTCTTGGGTTAAGTTCTGAAGAAAATGAGTAGAAAGATTAACAGGCTGAAGTACAGCAAAAACAACATTGGTACATTAATATTAACTGTCAGCCAAGACTGATAATTAAAAGCTTTTCTTTTGACTATTGCAGAACACTATCTTCAAAGAAAGGAACTGAAAACGTGCCCACACAATGTCAGTGGCAGTGGAAACCACAGTGTCCAGGGTGCCTCTCCCTCTTCCAACCCACTTTTCCCATGCAGAGCAGTCCTTCTCCCTCAAAAAGCGACATGTCCCTTTTTCCTTGTCGTCTATGTCCAACTCATCCTACTCTTCCCCTAGCCGGCTCTCACATTCTCTGCCCCCGCTGCCACCATCCAAGGGATGTCCCCCTCTGAGTAGGATGTTCCCCCAGCATCCATCCCCCTGGACACCCCTGTCTTGTTCCCTTAGAAAGTCTCCCCCTCCAAATTCTGTATATGATCCCAGCAAACAGCAAACCTATTTCAGTCAGTGCTTCACCAATTTGGGCCTACTAGGAAGAGGATCCTTTGGAGAAGTCTACAAGGTGAGTAAGACAAAAAATTTGCCTGTTGTGTGTATGAAAGTGATATGATACATACGCTGTATTATATGTTACTGTATCTTTACATTAAGGACGTTTAAATTCTTCTTAAATTCAATTTTGTGAGAAATTAGAGTAAGAGGTTAAAGGTTAAGACACTTCAAACAAAAAAAAAATACAACAAGTGTGAGAAATCAAAAGGCTCTAAGATGAAGTAGAAGTTTAAAGCCAAATTTTACACTTTAGAACAACCAAATATGTACTGCATGTTACCTCTTTATAGTAAAAACATTCCTTACATTGGATTAGGTTGAAAAGTAATGTTACACAAAAGCATTTACTTAAAAGCTTGACTGTTTGAACATCTGTTCTGTGGTTTTATACTGGGGAATCTCACAATACAACTTTAGATATCCCTGTAAGTGTTATTTTTTCTCTGTGACTAAGATTATTATTTAGAGATCCCCAAATAGATGAGAAAGCCTCAGCATTTTCTGTGATTTTCTAGGTGCAAAGCAACAAGGACGGTCATCAGTATGCAGTGAAGCGCTCTGCTCATCGCTTCAGGGGTAACAGTGAGAGGAACCGGAGTGTGAGGGAAGCCAGGAACCATGAGCGCCTGTGTCCTCACCCTCACATCCTGAATTTTGTGGCAGCCTGGGAGGAGTGTGGCCGACTGTATATTCAGACAGAGCTGTGTAGCACCAGCTTGCTGCTCCATGCTGAGAACCAGCCTCCTGGTCCAGGTCTGTCTTAAAAGAACAATAATGCAGATGGTGACATTGGCTTTTGATACATATAATGTGCTGTGCTTCTTGTTTGACATGGCTTTCTTTTAAAAACCTCCAATCCAGATGAGCCTGCAGCGTGGGCCTACCTGTGCGACATCCTTTCAGCACTGCAACACTTGCACTCTCATGGTTTTGTTCATCTGGACCTCAAGCCCGCCAATGTCCTCATCACGGACTCTGGACGTCTCAAGCTTGGGGACTTCGGGCTGCTGCTTGAGCTCAAACAGAAGAGTACAGAGCTTGTACATGGGAAAGTGAAAGAGGATGCTCAGGAGGGAGATCCCAGATACATGGCTCCTGAGCTTCTCCGGGGGGAATATGGACCTGCTGCAGATGTTTTCAGGTACAAATACCATAAATGAGAAAATTAAATGATATTCTAAAATGTGTAACTAATTGCTCCGATTTAATTTAGTCCCTAAATATTGTCATTTTCATTTAGTCTGGGTGTTTCTATTCTGGAGCTTGCCTGTAATATTGAAGTTCCAAATGGCGGAGAGGGCTGGCAACAGCTCAGACAAGGCTGCCTCCCCTCAGAGTTTACCAATGGTAAGATCCACTTTCTTTTAAGTGCTCATACATTTTTCTTTATTGAAATTACTTATGTTTTTACCATTTCCATCTGTACTTGCAGGCCTGTCAACTGAGCTGCAGGCAGTACTGCAGATGATGCTGGCCCCAGAGCCCTGTGAGAGACCAACAGTGTCTGAGCTCCTTGCCCTCCCCTCTGTTAGGAAACACAGGTGGAAGAGGCGCATCTATCTTATGGTCGCTGAGACCGTGGTGACACTGGCCTCTCTCTGCCAGGTCAGACGTCTTAGAAACTTTTTAAACATTAACTTTTGAGGTTTGGCCTTGCAAAGATTTACTTAATATGTTATCAATTGGCATAGTCCACGATCAGCAGCCTTTACCAAGTCTGAGGTGCAAACCAAGTATCACAAAAAAGTAATATTCAAAATATAAGAATATAAGAAAATATACAATATTCAGTGTAAACCTGAATCATAAAAATGTACTTCTTATCAGTATGTTGTTACATTTTTATATCATATATATTTTCTGGTCTTTTTCTATAGTTGGTGGTGTGCTTCGGGTGTAGACTCCTGTCCTCCCTTCATTTGTCCTTTCTTCCTCGTTGGACCAAGCCAGTGCCCTGCACTCCTCCTAAGGACAGTTGGGACAGGGATTTAACCCTGCCCCTTGGTGCCATGAACGCTGACTCAGGGAGCCCAGAGGATGATGCAGTGTTTCTGCTGGACCGCACAGACCCAGAGCTTTCCCCCACCTTCTCACACAGGTAGAGAATCCATGTGTCCACAGGATGATGTTCTTTACAAGCTTGTAGCACTTGCTTTATAAATTGACAGAACAAAAGTGAATTTCTCACTTTGGATTAGTTGAGTATTTAAAACATTTCAGAAATATCCCGAGCTGATGCCAAGGCTCCGTGTCAGTGTGATCCAGGCGTATTTTAATGGCACAGTATCGGCTAAAATAACACTGATCAAAATCTGATCTGTTCATCACTGTACTCTGCTATTTTCCACCTCAGCCTGCTAGTGTTGCAGCATCACACTGCATAATCCAGTGAAAGTTACCCTGTGCTGGACTTTCATACAAAATTTTACAAATTCATAACTTATTTGTAGTATCTTAGAAATGTATTTCCTGTACAAATATCCAGCAACAGTGAAGTAAAGAAACAGCTGTTGGGCCATGTCATGTGCCTGTGCCTTGAGCTAAATTTGTTATTTCTGTCAGATTCGCTGCTTAATTTGATACAAATTCCCCATTTCACAGGGTCAAATCCAGATTGTCTGTGGAAAGCACATCCACTCCTCTCCCAGGTTCCCCGATGCGCAATCACCGAAGTCCTGCCCACACACCCACTCAGCCAAATCTGGGTGACTGGTCCTCCTGTAACTTGGATCTGACCCCCTCCAGCATCCACTCAAATGGTTCCTGCCACACACTGACCCCCAGTGCAAGCCCCATACACACAGAGCTTCATACAGACAGCGTGAATGAAAAGTCCATGCAGAGCCGACATTCTACATCCACCAAGTCCTCGCAGAGGGGCGGTCGCAACTGGGTCCGAGCAGAGGAGGCTTTACCCCGACCCAACTTTGAACCAAAGAACCTGCTCAGTCTGTTCGAGGAAACAGCTGTGGAGGGACAGCCATGAGTACAAGACTGCCAGTTTACCTTCAGGGACGTGGTTTTCACTTCAAAGTGTCAGGTGAAAAACAACCTAATGTATGAATGTACCAAGTTCACTACTTAGCTTGTATGAATTGTGTGTGTGTGTGGTTTTTTTTTTTTTGCCATTTCATTACAGTCCTGCAACTGCTTCTTTTATGTGTTTGGAAAAAAAAAAGAATTTAGGGATAAGGGTTGAATATGTAACCAGACCATAAAGCACTTTTGTTATGTTTGTGTAAATGCAATCTGTTGCTGAAATGACAACTCATGGTTTATTGTTAAATAAGTTATCATTAGCTTTGTGTACTCTGAGTCATGTACCTCAAGATTTGCAAAAGAAAATAAAACAAGGAGGAAAGCAGAATCTCAATTTGTGAGCTGTTTTTTTTTTTTTTTTTTTTTTTTTTTTTTTTTAGCATATTCTTGTTCATGTGAATCAGAAAAGCTGTTTTCCACATCAATGACTGGGAGATGACAGGTCCATTAATAGAGGAGTAATCATTTGAAACTTCACTTCGCATCAGAGAGAATTCATGGATAGTTTTTAAAGTGGTCAGTCTTCTCAGGATAGTTTAAGGCTCTGTTTGCTAATTAGCCAGTAGATGGCAGCAGCGCACCTCGTACCGAATGCCAGCCACCTATATGACCCACGAAGGGGACGCTGTCTCGTGCACACAACAATCTACCGGATTATGTATTTTGCAAGCCGTTTTTAATCTCCGACAACGTTAACCGGGTGTTATAGCTGCATCTACCAAATGGACACCCGGTCTGTTCCGAGTTAAGACTCTGGAACCTGAAAGCGAGTATCTGCGTGAATGCGAATATTGTAAACAATGAACGTTTTCATCCGGATCACCATTAGATGATTTGGGATTCACCGAGACCGCATATTTCATGGGAATTACGTTAGGTTTAAGGTATGCTTCTTTTCCTTTTGTTAATAAAAAGACGTGATATTTCTGCATTACTGCTGTTAATCAATTTATTAGTGAGATAATGTTTTTATCTATCTTTCTTTTCTAATGTCTAGTTATGGTATTGCTATAATACTGTAAATCAATATTTTTCTGTGATTCAGTTGGCTAAACAAGGGGGGAAATGGTCAGATAGAACAGTGAAGATCTGTGAAGTCAATATTGATTGAAAACATGTTGCTCTTAAATTAAATATGCGAACACCGATCAACACCTTGGTTCCATTTCTTTCTTTTCAGTCCATAAAGATGTCCAAAATTGAACGTCTTAATGCCCGAGTGGAAAAGCTGCTGTGTAAAGCGGTGCAAGAGGTTCTGGAGGTGGTGAAAGAGACAGTGTCAGAGTACCAGGAGAAAACAGCCAGAACACAGAGAGAGAACCAGAGTCTGAAGAGGAGGCTGCAGGAGCTCCAGGATAAGATAAACTTGCAGCACTTTGGTAAGACAACACAAGCACTTGTGCCCAGAAATGTTAAAACCGATTGACAGGATATTTGTCTCTTTTGTGGTTCATCGTCTTTGTTGTCTTGCAGGAACTGTGCCACAAATTTCCACTTCAACCCAGCAGGCCAAGGAGGAACAGAGAGAAACAGAAGAGCTGGAAGAGGACACTGAACTCCTCCCTACTGATGACATTGCAGATTCATTTGAAGACCCTGACTGTGAATCAGCCATCGCATCTTTAGCCCCCCCCTGTCTCTCCCCTAAAACTATGATAGGTCCACATGTTGGTGGAGAGACCTTGAGCAATCCAAGAACTCTTAAAACTGAGACTGGTAATGGGCTTTCAATACCAATTATAAAACACGTAGACCCTGTTGTCACTATTGATATCAGTGAAGACGATTCTGATTTACACTTTACATCAAATAAAATGAAAGTAGAGCCCACATCAGATGAAGACACCACGCATAAACACACAAATTATTTTTATGAAGATGCTGCAACAAGCTCTACATCCTTAAACAGACTAACCCTAGAACCTCCTCAGGCCACTTCAGGACTCTACAATGCCGCAGGGGTCATCTTCAGTCTGGGCCAAAATAGCATTGAAGAGCCACTATCTCAAAGATACACAACTACAAACCGTGTTGGTACAGAAAAACAACAGACAAACACTAAAGCAGGCGGTTCAGACTCAGCAGCTTTCCAGAGAAACATGAGAAAACACTACTGCTGCTCGCTGTGTGGTCGAACCTTCAGGCACGCAGGCGACTACAAGAAACACAACAGGGTGCACACAGGGGAGAAGCCGTACTGCTGCTCGGTGTGCGGGAAGCGCTTCAGTCAGTCGGGCTACCTGACGGTGCACCTGCGCTACCACACAGGAGAAAAGCCTTTTGGCTGTAGCCACTGTGGCAAAAGTTTCAGTCACTCCAGTAACATGAAGAAACACCTGCAAACGCATCTGTGAAGCCGCTGTACCGCATCGTTCAGCTGTTACATCTAGACATTTTCTTTATGTATCACATTTGTGATATTTAAGGATGGGCACTGAAAAGGCTGCCTGTTTTTAAGCCGACATAGAAGGATTATTAAAGGAGCAAAGCACTGGATTCTCTGTGAGCTTCTTTTTGGAGGTCAGCTGAGCAAATTGCAACCCTGTTTAGAAAATGATGTAACTTCATGGAAAAGTTATTTATTACATGATTAAATGTGCCTTCTTCTATCAAAATAGAAAGCCTATTGTAGAGTGCATGTCCGATTCAGATGTGGAAGCACAATCTAACAGTTCCTACTATTTCTGCCTTACTGTTGTTTGTTTACTGTGTTATTTACTGTACGCTGGAGCTTCTTATGTGAACCTCCATATTCATTTTCAAATCAAATAAAAGTATTTGGGACTTCTGTATGGTAAATTGTTCTGTATTACCAACAACAAGATGAATTTACAATCTGAATCCAAAAAAAACAAGTGTGTAAACGGGACAGTGTAGTTAATAGTCATTCTTTCCTCTGACTTTTAACAGGGTCCAGCCCTGTTAAAAATAATGTGGATCCATTACAACTTTTTTTTATCCTTCTGTATTCATCTTTTGTATGGCAATTGGCCATCGAATTGGACTGCATTAGATTGCACAAATGCTCCTGTACCTGTGTTCACCTTGTTGTATTAGCTAAAGCGTTTAACATGCTGAGATTTACATTGAGTTGAGACAATCGCTGCGCCATCTTTCAACAGTTTATGGCACATAGCTTTGTCATATGAGGTGAATAACATTGCAGCACCTCATTATATCTCCTCACAAGAAGAGATAATATAATGTCTTTCCCAACACTTTGAGAGCATTTCGCAATTCCAAAAGCTCAAGCGATGCTTTCACTTTCCTTCCCAACCGGATGTGACTTGTTTAACCTTGATGTAGGCTCTAAAGCAGTGCGCACTGAAGCAGATGTATTCCTACTCCATATAGTTTTTAATATTTCACATGTGCAAACTATAGGACACACTGCCACAACACTATAATACAATTGATATGAGAGCTAAGTCAGATTTTTCCATTTATTCTCTTTTTGTTTTTTCAAAAATAAAAATTGTGAAGGTGATGTAAAATTGCTAATAAAATTGTTTGGATTTCAGTTTGAGCCTGAAAGAAACATCAAACCCAGTTTCACCCATATCTAGAATTAGCACTGCAATAAAAGTTTGTAATGTTTTGTGGAACAGGGATAGATGTTGAAGTGTTAAATGGAAATGCATATAAATATTTTTATTTTGATGTGATTAAGTACATCCTTTAATGTGTTTTTCTATTTGTTTCCGTGCATATTTAAGAATGCAATTGCATGTGTTTGTAAATATCATGTATGCACTTCAGGCAGCCATAGCCCTCCATTGATACCACAAAATTATCCAACTTGATATAAAATGTTTAACAGACAACACGTACAGATGAACAAATGCCTTAAAACCGGACTTTTATTTTGAAAGCCGCCGGACAATGGACGTGAATCAGGTTCTACTTCCGGAGGTTGCGATTTGTCATGATGCGTTTTTACTCGTGCTTTGTTATGTTGTTTTCAGTGTTTTGAACTTGTTTTTATTTGTTAGGTAGGCTCGACATTAACCAAAAGTTACAAATTTTGCTAACAATGTAACTGCATGGCGGGTTTTTTTGGACCTTTGGAATGTTTAAAGGGAAAAATATAACGTGTTAGCAAATGTAGCTAACATTAGCTATCCACCATATAACTTAGCCGCTAACTTCAGGACTAGCCTGCAGGTACTGCAGCTCTAAACATACGCTCTAATTGTGCCTAGCTAGGGAACTGACACTAGTTTAACTGTAGCCATTTGGCACCCGTTGTTGTATTTTATTTTAATATAAAAAACCTTATGCAATTGTAAACACGTCACGTTAACGTTGAACATGATATTACAGGGTCTACAACTTTGGAAGCAGTTCATTGTAATTAATGTACAGTTACAATGCAAATAAACTGATACAATGACTGCAAAAGTACCCTGGATGGGCCTGGTGTGACAAAAGATGACTGTACCATCAAAATATTAAACCAGAAACCATATCTATGTTAAAGATTTTAGAGCTCAGACCAAGATTGGATGATTGTACTAAAGTATTTTCCAAATTAGTGTTAAGTGGGAAATCTAGAAAATGATAGCGCAGATTCTCAGTTTTTTTTTAGGTTTTGTAAATTTTCATTCTTTTTAAATGCTTACCTCAGCTTGTCACGTTTATTGAATGTTGATACCCTCTGCAATAACAGTACAGGTGCCTTTTTAAGTTTCCAAAGTTGCCCAGACACTTATAGTGAATGGACCTGTATATAATCAACCGGCCACTAAGTGTTTTTGTGCTTCCAGTTGCTGTCACACTTTAAACTCATACAACAGCCATGTTAATCAAACGTTTCCTATGAATTATTATGTAATAACATATGTGTACATTATTGCTCATTTTACTGAGGGTTATGTATAATTGGTCCACAGTCATTTATTTCTCTGAGTGTTGTTTTGTTTCAGGATGTCTAAACTTGAACGTTTGAATGCTCGCGTGACCAAGCTCCTGACTGAAGCGGTGCAGGAGGTTCTGGAGGTGGTGAAGGAGACAGTGTCAGAATACCAAGATAAAACAGCCAGAACACAGAGAGAGAATGAGAATCTGAAGAGACAACTGCAGGAGCTCCAGGACAAGATAACAAAAGGGAGCACACGTGGGTACAGTTGTAATCATGTTGGGATGTTTATTGTAACACATAATGCAACAATTCCATTCTGGCTGAAGTGTCTTGATGAGTTACTAAAAGTAAACACTCCTGTATTTGGTCTTCATTTCACAGCTGCTCTACCTGCAAGTGGACTTTTGCCTGAAGAAAAACAAGACACAGAGAATCACGGGCAAGACTTGAGCCTCGCATGGAGGCACAACCCAAGTGTCACTCTCACAGAGCAAAACCCAGTGAGCAGCCAGGAACCTGACCATGACGTGAAGCAGGAATGCAAAGAACAGGACAGCTACAATAATTCTGAATCAGAAGCTGAGTATAACTTAGTACAAATGTCAACAGAAGATTGCAAAGCACCACCTGAGGAGGAGGCACACATTATCGAGGAGGTATTGACTGTCCAAACATCAGACAGAGCAAACAGGGATCCCAGTTCTGTCTCATCTAACAATCTGTGCAATGTTCACTCCAGTAGTCCACTTGGGGTAAACCTGACTGCCATCAAAAGAGAACCAGAACCAACAGACTGCACGATATCAGAACCGCCGCCTCTTCAAGAACAGTACACTGGATGTATGGACTTAAGCTGCAACTCTTCTCGTCACAACTCTGCTGAGACCCTCAGGCCTCAGGGCAGCGCTGAAACTTACGGACTTGTCTTTGTCCACTCAAGTCACAGCATACCTAGGAGACATGGATTTGCAAAAACCAACAGGGTTGCTTTTGACGTGAGAAAAATAAGGAGGGAACACTTAAGCGGAGATGACTCACACTTGTGTGTTGTATGTGGAAAGACGTTCAGCAGGGTCGGAAATTTGAGAATCCACCAGCGTTGTCATACGGGAGAGAAGCCGTATGGCTGCATACAGTGTGGGAGGCGTTTCAGTCAGGCAGGAGACCTGAAAAAGCATAAGAGGGTCCACACAGGGGAGAAACCGTACTACTGTAACCAGTGTGGAAAGAGCTTCAGTCGAGGGGAGAATCTTAAAAGACACCAAAAGATCCACATTGGAGAGACACTGCAGTTACAACAAGCGTGGAGGGAGCAACAGCTGTGATTTTAATACTAGACTCAGTGCAAACCATTAAAATCAGCAAAATCTGTGAATGATCATTTTTGATGTGTGTTCCTAGTTTGAAAATATTATTTTATTATATATTTAAATAATAAACTACAGAGTACAGGAAAACCCCACTCTCCTGTAAATCATGCTGAATTGTTACAAGGGGTTACTTGCTGTTTGGGATTTTAGTTAGTTGTGTGCTAAGTACACAGTCTGTCCTTCTAAATGACCTTTTTTCACAATAGACATTTTAGTATGTCCTGACATGAAAAGCACAGGTATAATTGATAACATTATAAAAACACCTGCATTCAGTTTTGGTAAGATAGTTCCAGGGTCCTGTTAATGTGCATACTGACTCACCATCATGGCTCACTGGAACACTTCTGGGTTGGAGCCACTGTTAACGAGATTTGCTTCACCTGTGCTTTGCCTACTATGACAAGGCAAACTTTTTCCTGTGTAAAAGTCTGTCACGAGAAAACAGGAGTGTACAAGGTCATCACTTAACCAAAGAGGCTGATTCTTTACAGATGGAGATGCAGTGATGCAAAGGCATACTATGATGATTGATGATTTATAACCAATATATATATATATATATATATATTTTAATATTTGGTAAGTTGTGGAATTTTACCTAATCTAACTTGATTTAGCAAAAGAGTGAAAGTGTGAAGGTCTTATTTTTTTTGGGGGGGGGTGGGGGTGCTTCAAAAGTTCTACATGCCCATGATACATTCTTACAGGTGATTTCAATTATTTTGGCTAAATAGATGTTCCCTCAGGACTTTATTACATCACTCCCGTGTTAGCTCTGTTACCAAAAAAATACACACACAAACACATACAATTGCACATTTATTTCCTATTAGCACAAAGACTTCGCTGAGGTTTAATCAGCCAGAATAATTGAAAACACCTGTGCAGGGATTTTGAGATAGGCATGCGTAAATTGCACAACTTATTTATTACCTTCATTTGTTTAAAGGATAATGTAATGTTAAGATGCATTTCATTATTAGTAATATATCTGCTTTTAAAAAATAATCAATCTCTATTTTGCAGTAACAACTAGTATTGATTTTGGACTAAACAGATCTATATCCACTAAGCCTTTGGCCTACAGAGCACGTACAGAAAAGTCTAAGATAACAGTGTGTTGTATATTGTAACACCTGTTGTAACACCTGGTGTACAGAATGTTTCATCTCATGTTAAATAACTGAATGATAAATACAATGATTGAGCCCTGAAAAGCATGATTGTCATTAAAGTTGCCTGATTTTCCTGAAAGATTGGAACTTGCTGTTTGCTGCATATATTTATTGCAAGTTTATTTAGGATTAAAAAATAGAGTTTGAACAGCAAAAGCAATAGATGAATTGATTAACACCAAAATATGTTTTAAAGAAACATATTCTCATGGCTTGATTAGTAAAAAAAAAAGTAGAATAACAGACAAACATCCCCTGGTGGATGTGTGTCATTTTTACTTCACGAGTTATTTGGGTTGAGTAATACTATAAGGCTAGAATGTGTAAATAATTATCACATGTATCCACTTGACTTTACACAACAGATGTTAGGGATTTTCACAGAGGAAGTAACACACAACACTGACTGCACTGGAGTTAACACACATACACACAGCCAAAAACTGCATGTCATCACCACAGGTTCAACCACAGGTCCTATACATATATATATATATATACAGTACATCAAATGTTAACATGTATGCTTAATATTATGCATTGTTCCTACAACAAAGAATATGAAATGAAATACTAAAATGCTGGTATAATGCTACATACTCCAGGATTTCAGTTTGTCAGGTAGTTTGTGGTAATTTGATTAAACATAACTTTATTTACAACATGTGAGTACAATATAATCTAAACCAATAAAGGTCTTACAAATAGATTTTGAAACTGGGTCCTTCTACAAGACAGATCCACAGATTTACATAATAATATAGTTGACATTTTACTTTAATGGGGCAAATTTCCTGTAAATTTGTAGTTAATCAAATCAACAAAATCAGCTGGTACAGGTAATAACGTTGGTGCTTTTTGGGGGCCACAGAGGTCTGGGTCCTCTTTGCATGACTGGTAATAAAGCCTTGCGTATTAATGTAGCTGGTAAATTTATTTCTAATCACAGGAAACCCACTACCAACATTTAAAATCGTTTACATTAAAAAATCACATAATTATTTCTGAATATTTTTCTTATTGAAATAGTAAGACTGGTACCACTGAAGACACTAGCACTGATAAGGTGCATTTATTGTTTACTTGTCTTGCAGCTGAAGTTGTTTTGTACACACAGCAGTTGTGCTGTTGACGTGGAGCTGCCCTCACCTTTAGCTACCAGGAAGTGATTGGCACACACCCACGGAGGAAACTGAAATACATGTACACACTTCAGAAAGGTGCGTAACCATAAACCATGTGGATGTGAGAAACTATCTGCTTCTCGCAGTTTCTCGACTTAAATTGAGGCAAGTTACAGATAGAAACCTAAATTCACACAGACAGTGGCGTAGACATGTTACTGCCGTTACTGCCTTAAAAACTACTGGGGAGTTATTAATGGCGGTCAATTTGGCACGTCTCCAGCTAAATGTAAAGCGATATTAAACTATGGATGACTTGTTGTAGAGAAAAGCATTCGACTGTTTTCAAAAGTGTTAAAAATGGAATAAGTTGTGAAGCATTTCCTTGTTGCCACGCGGAAAAGAGCTTCTTATTTGGCGCCCAGACACGAACAGTGACTGTGTTCAACAGTAACCCTGTTAATATCAGTTCTCCTTAAACACACAAGCATGGTAATAAATGTGGAAGTAAAAGCTACTTTATATTTATTGTGTGTTTGGTGTTTGTGTGTGGAAGGTTCTGTTGTGAGCAGCCTGTGATGTTGAAATGAAGGTTGATGAAAAAGTTGTCACCTATTTCGAATCTTGCAACTCACCTGTGGACAAGGAGGGGTACCTCTCCAAGAAGGTAAGACACTGATTAAACCATATTCAAATTAAAGAGGAAGTAGATCATATGTATATGGAGACTATATCATATTCTTATTTTAAAATATTCTCCTTTATTTGTCATTGACTTTTATCTATTTCATCTAGTTTTATATGATGTTATTGTTATCCTTTTTAATTGATGTTGTCATTACATTTTCACCATTTTTTACTTCATCATGTGCAAGTAGATTATAAAGTATTTTATGGACTGTCTCATTCACCTTAATCACCTAAAGCACTTTGAATTGCAAAGTACCCTGTACAAAAGTGCCATACAAATAAAGTTTGAATACTGGATATATGTTTTTACCTTTTGCTTAATAAAAAACAAAAACATAAATATATGAATAAATATCTAAAAATAAAAGTAAATTATGGTTTTAAAACACTCGACAAAAACCATTTTACCCATTATATTTGAAACTGCTCCTTTTAATAATTTAAAAATACATAGGTTTATATTTATACAGCAGCTTTTTAAAACAAAGCTCCTCAAAGACCTAAGATTACAGCACTACAATTAGATAAAATCAGGCTAAGAAAAGTGCAACTGTCTGGAGAGCTGTCAATCCATGCAGCTTTCAAAATAATGTAATAATTTGAATTTTTAAAGCATAAAAATTATACTTCACTTTTTAGTTTCATGACACTGTGTAACATTTAACCTCCCACTAAGAGGCTTATTTCACCAAAGCAGTTGTGTAAGAAATTGAGTAAATGAGCCATTTATAAATGAGTGAGTATCACACGATTGTCACACAGGGTGAGATAAAGACTTCCTATCAGAAGCGTTGGTTTGTGCTGAAGGGGAACCTCCTCTTCTACAAGGACAAGCCAGCCGACCGGGACCTGATAGGCGTGATTGTTCTGGAGGGCTGCACCGTTCAGCTGTGCGAGTCCGAGGAGCAGTTCGCCTTCTCGCTGGTGTGGAGCGAGCCGGGACTGCGAACGTACAAGTTTGCTGCCGAGGACCAGGCCAGTCAGGAGAGCTGGATCAAAGCCCTGCTGTCGGCCAACCACAACTACCTGGCCCTGCTGGTGATGGACATGGAGAAGAAGTATAGAGGTGAGAGACAGAAAGGCTGAATGTCTTTATCTCTGTGGGTGAAAGAGAGCGGCCTTTGTTCCCCAGAACAGCTGTGTGAGAGGTCGCATCACTGTTTACTGCTCCACATCAGACGCCATGTACATCGTGGTACAATAACTCATCAGAGAGGGGTTAATTCAACTCTGTTGTAGTTTTTGAAGGTGTGCTTTGTGGTTTTGTTGTATTTAAGTTATACAAGCTCAACAAAGGTTGGTTTTACAGCACAGTTATGTATGTATATATTGACATTGGCTTATGTTTAACGTGATTTTGGATGATTAGAAGCTGAAATACCTATTTTTTAGGGCAGAGAAGAGACAGGCTGCAGTCTCATGAAATTCCATGAAAAAAAATTAGACTTGGTCATTACTCAAGTGTCTATGTTGACATAAACACGCTGCACAGTGCGGCAACTTTTTTGCAGCTTTGCTAAAAAATGAAATTGTTACTCTAAAATACAATACAGACAATTAAAATGGGCTAAGTCTGGTTAATAATACAAACAATCGGTTTTTGTCAGTATAAAATCTTTTAGAGATCAAAGTACCTGTTGTTTAGGTGTAAGATGTTCTCTTTAAGATGTTCTCTTATGCCCCCACAGTGGCTGCAGCTCAGGTGGCAGAGAGGGTCAGTCATTGATTGTAGTATTGGTGGTTTGATCCCTGTTTCTTCCTGTCAACACGTCAAAATGTATTTGAGAAAGAAACTGTCTCAACAAAACCCATCTGCCAAATGAATGAATAGAATGCCATGTAATCGGCTTCAGTCTTTCTGTTAATGTAACCTCAGCTGCTTGGTAATTTATTTCTCTGTGTTTCTTTGCACTTTCCTCAGATGCATTAGTTGCATTCTCCGGTGAACCAACCAACACTTTCACCATGCCAAATTTCAACACAACAGAGGCAGGATATTCTGCAGCCCTTCAGAGCAGACAAACTTCAACGCTGCCCTCGTACCCTGCAGCAGCTGTGGGAGCAGGACCCAGTCTCAGCCCCAATCTGATGCTTCAAACTCCGAGTATTTCATCCAAAACAGCTAGCAAGAGATCACCTAAACTGTGGCCCAAGAGGAATGCAAATGTGGTGCCTATTAACACTCCTGCTCCACCCATGGGGGAGTGGTCAGGGGTCTGCTTAGGCACCAAGGAGGAATTTAGTAAACTACACGAAGATTTTGGAAAAGAAGTCAAGGAACTGATTGCTAGTTGGTCAAAAAGAGGACAAGCAGGCGAAGTTGTTCAGGAAGAAAATTTGATAGATTTTGGATAATAAATATGAAGTATACACAGTGTCTAAACCTTGATTTCAGTAACCATGGTTGCATTGCAAAGCTTTTATGTAAATAGGAATTAGAAATATTGTTAAGATATATTTAAGACGTATATATTTGTAGTTGAAGAGCGTACTGTTTCTTTTTTTCTTTTTTTTTTTTACTTATCATGTCATTAAATGATCTGTGATTTCCTGCTCCAGTGACCTTTGTTCATTATTAGAGTGAAGTGATTTCCTCATGTGAAGTTTTGAATACAGGTCACACGCCATAACATTTTGTAAAGAGGAACACCAACTGCAAATGTTGCTACACCTGCCAACCAATCAGAATTGAGGATTTTCCGTGGCCATGGGATGGAATTTTTTTTATATTAGTGCTGACGTGATACTTCACTTTCTGTACAGATACCAAAATGATACTTTTTTTCCGATACCTTTGAGAATCTATAAGTAAGGCTGCAACAAACGTTTATTTTCATTATTGATTAATCTGCCATTTTTTTGATTGATTGATCAATCATTTAGTATATAAAATATCAAAAGAAAGCTCAAAGTAACCTCTTCAAATGTATTTTTTTGACCAACCAACAGTCCCAAAAACCAAAAATATATTCAGTTTACTGTGATAAAAAACAGAGAAACGCAACAAATCCTCCTATGTGTGAAGCCAGAGACAGACAATGTTTGGCATTTTTTCACTATTTTTACTTGAAAGATAACATTTGATGCCAGCTTTCTTGACTGGACAGGTTGTTTTTGATACAAAAAAAGCATTGAGGTTAGATACCAAGCCTTATTTATCAGTAATCAGAGGATATTGATCTCTTATTTGTCCAATTTGTCTGTATACCAGTGAATTAAACTTCCAAAACAGTCCAGTGACTGTGGGTAAAAAAAGGACAGCAGTTGTGTGGGGGCACAGCAGGCCAAGAAGGGTGAAGTCTGTTGAATTTTAGAAGAGAGTCAAAATGGCTGAGAAAGAGAATGACAGGGGGTGGCAGAGCTATTTCAGTCTGTACAGCTGTCTTGTTTTTATGGTCTTTGACAGAGCTTGGTCTCTTTCTCCCTCTGTCTCGCTCTCTCTCTTTTCACCTTCAAGCCCATACTTGAAGTGGCTGCTCTTCTGCTCGCGACCTTATTCACGTAGCATTTAATTTCTGATTGCTTCTCTGCAAATATCTCTCTGATTTTCAAATTAAAAGTGGCGGGATGTTGGATCAGGTAAAATCACAGGGTTATAGGTTATGAATGTTATATGTTATAAAACAGTTATGTTGCAGAAACATTTTTACCTTTGGAAAAATTAGGTCGTATTATGTCTGTTGAAATACAAGGTCTACAAATGACTGAGGACGTAGTATCAGTTCGCGCTACTGCTGTATCCCAATACATACCTTAGGTGTACAGTGACGTGATTGATGGCAGCCTATCTAGCTCATATATGGAGTTAGGTGGGTGGGTCACTGTCTCCCTATTCCAAAGCAACTATACTGGGAACCTCCAGGAGCATCCCAAATTAGTGCATCCGTAGTGGGAAAGCTGCTCATTTAGTCCAATCATCATTTGCTGTTTCCCATCATATGTGTGACAAATTACCACAGAAACAGACATTCATTTTGTACGTTTACAGGCGCAAAAAACAATGAAAAAACATGAAAAAAACCGCTGCCTTGGGGAAACTTGAATGAACTGTACATAAACATTTGAATAGCTCTGCTTTTGTTTCTGTGAAGCATGTGGCGTACATTTAATTTTTCTTTTTCAAAACACAATTTGCAAGTTGAGCATACACTGTCTCCACAAAGTATTCCCTACAACTTGTGTCAGTATGAAAGAACTGTTTTCATTTCTCATTAATGGAAGGGGCACTGTGGTCAAGTGTCATTACTGGAGCTGGACCAATGTCCAGCAGCCAACTGTTTTCAAGTTTCACGACTGTTTATAAACTCTGATGGCCACTGCTGATCTGATAGTGGGCACAAACCTCAGACCAAACCTATCATTTAGACAGGTGATGATTTAAAGTTATGTTAACTGCAAATAAATGTTGGCACTTTGGGCATCTCATGCTGTTAATTACTAGAAAGCGTTGGTCAGGTTGACTGCAGGATAACTGTTCTGTGTGTTCTGTGTGGTATCAAGAGAGTAAAGCAGCAATAGCCCGTCATCATACAGTGCACTGGGTTTTGTTCTCTCACAGTGGATTGAAAAGAAACAAAAATAGCCACAACAAAGACTCCCAGTATGTCAGGAGGAAGAAGAAGAAGAAGAAGAAGGGTACGGCGACAGTTCAGTTGTCCGTCAGCATGTCCTGTCTGTCACTTTGGCCATATTAGTCCACAGATGACACCAAAGTCAGGCCTGTATGTTGGCATTGAATTCACCTCATTCCAAGACTCCTGGGACCTATTTTGGAGCATCGGTAAGCCGATCCGCCCCGCCACCTCCTCGCTCCTCCCTCTTTCTCTTACTTTCCCTCAGCTCTGTTTTCCTGCCAAACCTGATGGTGTGGCTAAAGTTAGCCCCCCGTGGGCTAGTATATAAGGCCCCAAGGCTCCAATACTTACATGTCAGTCACATCGGCTTGGCGTAGGCTTCTCTTCTTGACCAACAACAACCCCACAAACTTGAGAGATGGTGAGTGTGGCCGTGTTGCTTGGAGGAACAGTCTCTAGGGATCTAGGATCTTCTCTACGCTAAAACTGACTGAGATGAGAGCATCACTGATGCATTTGCTATCTGGATTACCAACATCCCATGAAGTGAAATTGTAGGAGTCTCTTAAACTGAGCCTCCCAAACTGTGGATGTGGACCCAGTCTTACTTTTATCTGCTGGCTTGAGCTGGAGTTTGGCTAACATCTCAATCCTTAACCAGGATGTAATACTGAAATACAATCTGTCTGGGGATCATTACCTTAAGATTGAAGTCCCCAAAGCCATTACATAGTCCTTTACCCTAAACTGAGTGATCGATTTTAAAAGGGCAGATTTCTTTGATAAGAAAAAAAAATCACCTGTGGACAAGAATGTGTGATTCTAATGGCACTTTGTCAAAATCCACAATACAGAGAGATTTATTTTGTTTATCCCAGCAATTTGAAATTTGGATGTAGAAGTAACTAAAACCTACAGTTAAGAAGTTTTTGTGTCCTTTATAGGACAGTCTTTACATTGTTTCCTCAGAGTTAGCAAGGATCTATTTGTTTGCTTGATGTTTTGTTTGTTTGACGTGTATTTTACCTTTCATCCTTTCCCAGGCACCCAAGAAGGCCAAGAGGAGACAGCAGCAGGGTGAGGGTGGATCCTCCAATGTGTTCTCCATGTTTGAGCAGAGCCAGATCCAGGAGTACAAGGAGGTAACATTTTCTTCATCACATATCACGCACTTCGATGTTCTCTGGTAGTCAGATATGAGGTCCTTCAAGGCCATGCGAGAAAAGGGACATTTTGTGGCGTTCATATAACCGATGACTCCACGTATCATTTGACCTCAGAGGTAATGTGAGGAAGCTTCCGAAAGATATAGACCTGCATGACAGCAAAAATGTCCTCATCAGCATGACAGGGGAGTAAATCTGAGCTTTTCTGATGACAGCAGCTACCTCTCCCCTGTGGTAGCTCAGTAATCCTCCTCCGAGACTCCAAACACTCGCTCTGTGACCCCACTGGAATGCTGCCCAGCAGCTGGGGGACAGCAATATTAATCAAAGCAGGAAAGAGGGGTAGAGGTAGAAAGAAGAAGAAAACATTTGACGTTCATAGATCAGATGTTGAGTCTACCGCAAGAAAGTTTTTTTCATAATATCTGAGGGTGTGGGCTCAACAACGAAATTAATTACAAAAATCAAGAGCCTCACTGGGTCTTCTTTCAGTACACAGGTAGAAATGAAAGACAATACAGTGGCTACAGTAGCTTGGCTGACTCTTTAGAGGCATTAAGAGGTGAAAGAACATTTGGGACAGGGTCAGAAGATTTAGTCATAAGGCAAAAAGGAGGGAGGAGAAGGGGGTGGGGAGTGGGGGGGTGACAGCTGTAATCAATACCTTCTCCTTAAATGTCGCAAGGGGCTTGTCTCCCATTCCGAGACCATTTTAACACCTTAGAAAGACAAGTGGCCGACCAGCTGCCAAGTCCCAAAAGGTTTCCAATGCCATCTTTGGTTTCACCGGGTGATTTGCCCAGCTATGTGGAAAGAGAAGTGGAGAACAGCTCCACATTTACACGTTTATGTTGGCAGACTATCTCACACAAATAATCATCATAAGCAAGTCTTAAGATACGGACTTGTGAGAAACGTGAGAATCTCAATTTTCATTTTTAATTAGCTTTATTTCAGCTGTCAGTTTTCGAGCTTGTGAGTGACATGTGAGGAGGTGGTGGACCTCCGGTATGGCAACACGCGCAACGAATCAGGCACAAGTGAAGGTTTTTGAGATATTATGTCACTGTTCCCTGGCAGGCTTTCACAATCATCGACCAGAACAGAGATGGCATCATCAGCAAGGACGACCTCAGGGACGTGCTGGCCACCATGGGCCAACTGAATGTGAAGAATGAGGAGCTGGAGGCCATGGTGAAGGAGGCCAGCGGCCCCATCAACTTCACCGTCTTCCTGACCATGTTCGGCGAGAAGCTGAAGGGTGCGCTGACACAGAAACTTGACTCAGTTTACCCTTTCTTCTTTTGAGTTTCTTTTTTTTTTTTTTAAATCTTTTATAATTGAGAATAATTGGCCTGCTTTTACCTATAGGTGCTGATCCCGAGGACGTCATCGTGAGCGCTTTCAAGGTCCTGGACCCCGAGGGCACCGGCTCCATCAAGAAGGAATTGTAAGGGCTTTTACTTTTACTCACAACTCTCTCCGCATTTTGTGGCGTATAGCCTTGAATCAGGATAGGACAGGAATAGGATACTTATTTTTCTCCATTTTCCCTCTCCAGCCTTGAGGAGCTCCTGACCACCCAGTGCGACAGGTTCACCGCTGAGGAGGTGAGCTGATCAGTCTTTGTCTCACTCGGTGTTCACATTCTGTCAGGTTGTTCAGGGCTGTAGGTCATTTCTTTCATCTCCTCCCCTGCAGATGACCAACCTGTGGGCTGCTTTCCCCCCTGATGTGGCTGGCAATGTGGACTACAAGAACATCTGCTACGTCATCACACACGGAGAGGACAAGGAGGAGTAAATATCCCTCTACCAAGATCTCTACCTCCGTTCAAACCCATACCCGCTCCACCATCTACTCACTCCCTCTTCTCCAACACCGTGGCTTCCTTGCACACGCTCGCGCCCCGGCCCTTTCTTTCCGCTTGCCAGCTCACTACGAAAAGACTTGTCTCCTTTATTGAGATTGAGACACAGTGAGAGGACTGAAGGCTGTGGGGGTGTTTGTGTGTGAGTACCAACAGGGGAACATGGGATTATTTTCAATAAAAATAATCTTGTGACACCGAAACACTCTCTCTATCTCTGTCCCTGCCTCTTGTTCCTCCTCCTTTTCCTCCCATCACTCATTCTGTCCTTCTGTGTTGAGGCCAACAGTGCATGCATCATACCTACGCGCAGGTTGTATGCCTATGCAGTCCAGTGTATACAGCGGTCAGTCAAAAAAAAAAAAACTTCCCTTGGGTGCTGTGGTGCATGCACAGTCACTTGCTTGAAACAAGTAAGCAGTCTGACCCAAGTGGTCTGTTAGTCTTAACACGACACAGAGTGTTTAATGGATTTGTCCCTTCGTTTGTATTGGAGAGGACTGCACAGTAAAAGAGTGGGGGTACTGTACTATAATAGTTTCCCTACCCCTCTCTTTTTTTACATCTGTCTCTCACTCGCTTATACACAGGTAGAAAAGGAAAAGTTGCAGTGAAAAGAGGAAAGCTTGGTTTTTTTAAAACTTTAAATCTTGTAAATAGAGAAAGAGATGGTGAAAGATGGTGAGTGGGAGGCAGGAAAGAAATAAACAAAAGTAAAACAGCTTTGTTTTGGACTCTCCTTCCTCCTTCTCGCTGCTGTTTCTCTCCTGTTGTTGTGACTGTGTCTATGTCTCCACTGTAACAAATAAAGAAGCACAAATAAAATCCATTATCTTTCGTACGACACTGTGTCTGTTGGTTTAAGTGGGGGCATGGGTGAAAGCACTGCTGGTTGACCGTGAACAGCCCAGTAGAGCACTGACTGCACACTGAAGCATTATTGGGTACTTTCAAATGGTGATTAATAATTGTGGAGAAGTAGTAGTTCTCCAGGTAGGATCGACTCATGCCCCTACATGTGCAGGACAGAGGGAGAAAATAATCAAAACACCTAAAAATACACGAACACTCTGTACCTCTTGAGCAGAACACTCTGTCTTCAGATCAACTGCAGAACATGGATTATTGCAACAGAAGTCCTGAGCCATTACTGAACCGTTAATAACTGTGACATCATAGAAAATTTCATAGTGTGTATGCTGAAGAAGTTATAACAAAAGTTTAATAATGTCTGGCGATTGGAAGATTAAGATATACAACTGAAAGAATGCTCAGTTGCCTATGTGTCGTACTCTCTACACAAGCTTTTTTTGTCCAGTGTATCTTTGTACATTCACCTTGTACATAGCATCTAAATATAAGAACCACAACACAGACGTTAACAACCTTCAAACTCATAAGAAGTCACAGCTGGAGGGAAGAGGTTTCTACAGCTTTGCAGCCTGTGAATGAATGGTTGCTAGATTCAATTTTACAAGCTTCTGTTAAGTGAAATTTGAGCAGGCAACTAATTTAGTTTTGGTTTTCATAGAGAATACACACTAGTCAGGGGGGGGAGTCTAAAAGCAAGCTTGCTTCATGTGGAACACCAAAATAGCCAGGATTATATATTTAAAAAACATTTTCAAAAGTCATTTTAAAATAAATAATCACATGAATAAAAATGTTCAGCCTTTTGTATTCAATTATACATTATATTCAACTATTCTTGCAGCAAGAGTCTGGGTATGGCATTGCCTGTCTGGCAGTCCCTCCACCACTTTGGCCCAGAATGAAATTCCTCAGTAAATATTAGATGGCTTGTTTTGGCTTTTGATCATATGTCTTAAAAACTAATGGGTGGATTGCAAGACATGCTACAGTCCTTGTAACCCTAACCCTAACTACGGTGATCCTCTGAATCATCATCAGGTCAGGGAAAGTTCCTTGTGTGGAATTTCTGCTTTCGTATCACCATTGTGGTCATGTAACATGTAACGTCAGTTTTAATCCTCCAAGATATTAACTCCTAAATGATATTAATGTGTTTTCTTATCTTAATATATTTTGTTTGCATGTATTACTTACTTTTATTACAAAAGCCTACACTTTTATTACAAACCAAAAAAAAAAAGATAGGCTATCTACTACTAAACGTATTCATACGCAAGGTGCAAAAGATCAATGAATCACGTGGCCTAGTGACGTTAGCAACCGAAACAGGATGTGAAGCTACTTACAACAAACAAACATTCAGCCTTCAAAATTAAAGCACAAAATATGTCTTTAAAAATACCGGTACTGATTGTCTGACTCTACCAAATAAGTTCGCTAACAAAACAGATTTTTTCTCTCGGGGCTAAGCGTAGAGCTCAAACCTAATATAAAGTAATACTACAGCTATTATGATGTTTTGTCACTCTATATAACCAAAAGCTTCCCCAGAACTTTTTATTTTGGAAATGGTGACCGGAAAAGGTGTGCGAGTGTGAAACTTGTCCCCGATCAGAGGGCAGGGGAGCAGTGGACATACAGTACTGTAACTGTAAAACATTTCAGGCCTGCTTTGTCAACTCAAACTAGGAATGGCCCTATGGTAATGTGCACCGTCGGCTGTGGAAGCCATCGATGCCGCTGTCGTCCTGCCGTGCCTTTGTGAGTCCTGACGGGCCGAGACCTACCACCATGGCCTCAGCGTTACCCCGCTGCACATCTGTCAGACTCCCCGCTCTGGCTACTGTCGTCCTGCTCCTGTTGTCGTTGACCACAGTACAGTCCTCCCAAGGCGACAAGGAGCCGGTATACCGAGACTGCGTGAAGCAATGTGTCCGGACCAACTGCACCGGAGCTCGGCTACGGGGCTTCCAGTCTACCCAGCCGCAGTACATGGCGCTGACAGGTCAGTTGTTGTTGCCGTTGGCAGGTAAGTTAGGCTAACTTAGCTGGCTAGCACTCTGTAGATTTTTCAGCAGTATAACAACTGTATTTAGTGATAATATATCGTTAACATTTGCTAAATGTAACCATTGACTGTCTTTGCTAACAGTTTGCATTCACTTAGTGTTTACTGCTCCGTGTAACTGCTCTCTGCTGGTGCCGCTTTGTATGACATGGCTTTTAATTCATTTTCTCATCTTTGACGTTTCATGAAGCATGTGCTGCTGTTTCATGAACTCAAATAGCTTTGAAAAGTTGAAAGCCAGTTTTTCAGGAAGGGCAAGGTGTGACAAAAGGTCTATTGTAACGCCACCCTCTCATTAACAATTGTGCGGTGTAGGTATTCTAGATGGCTCTAAAAAAATGCAAATTAATGCTGTAGTGACTTGACAATACTTTCTCGTTGCAACTGGCAACAAACCCCCCACCAATAAAAAGTGTGTGAGATTTAAAAACAACAAACTGGCACACTATCTAATCCCTAATTTCTATGTTTGATAAGAGGAACCACTTGATCAAGCTCAGACCAACTAAAGAGGAGTAGTGCCCAGTTCACTACTGCTGCAAATATAAGGAGAGCACATCTTGTCTATTAAAGAAGGGATCAGTCAATGTTTTAATGTTTTACAATTTGCATTGTAATTGAACTAGAGTTGAGTAGTTGAGAAATTGTTAAGTCAGTCAATGGAAAATAATGAGAAATTTTTCTGATAATCTATTAATTGTTTCATTGAGTTTTCAAGCAAAAACATGAAACGTCCTCTCGCTCCATCTTATTGTAAATTATATTTTGAACAAGCAATTTGAAGACATCACCTTCGGCTCTGAGAAATTACGATGGCGATTTTTCACTACTTTTTGACACTTAAAATGATTGGCCAAATTAATAATCGATGAAAATAAATAGTTGTTGCAGCTCTACTGGGAACTTGTGCCCGTGTCCTGTTTTTAATGCCAGGTGTTTCCCCTCAGCTTCTCTCTCTTTGTTGCTGCATTGCAGGTTGGACATGTCGTGACGACTGTCGCTATCAATGCATGTGGACCACCGTGGGCCTTTACCAGGCTGAGGGGTACAGGGTCCCGCAGTTCCACGGCAAGGTTTGTGTTCATTACAGAGGCCAGTATGTGTATCGCAGTGAGCTTCATCACATAATCTTATCATCATATCCTGTTCTCTTCAATTAGTAGATTCTGTTATAGTTTTTTAAAGGTTATATACTCAGACTTTCAAACAAGACTCTCCAAGTGCTCCCATACTGGTTTTGTCTGCTTTGAGTGAAATGCTGTGAAATTATGGGTGATGTGTTTTATCTCTCATAGTGGCCATTTGCACGCTTCCTGTGTTTCGAGGAACCGGCGTCTGCCCTGGCCTCTCTGCTTAACGGCCTGGCTTGCCTTCTCATGCTGCTGCGCTATCGGAGCACGGTGCCACGCCAGAGCCCCATGTACCACACCATCAACGCCTTCTCTCTGGTGAGTCGAATTCACACAGAAGTGCACCAGTGCTATTCTGTCTTTACGTTAATGGGCATGTAACAAGACCCTGTGTGTGTATGTGTGTGTGTATTCCCTTAGGTATCTCTTAACGCCTGGCTGTGGTCCACAGTGTTTCACACCCGAGACACCTATCTCACTGAGGTAATGGTTAAGTGCCTGGCGTCTCTGTCAACTTGAAGCTGCATGAAGTGATTTTTGTTCCATTGATGGCAAAGTCATTGCAAAAAGAATCATTGGCTTAAGTTTTTATCACCAACCTGTTCCAACTCCATCTGACTGATGATCTAAATTTAATAATCTCTCACCTTTATGGACCCAGTTTGGTCCATTCGTGAGAAAAATATCTGTCCAGTAAACTCGTGAGCTGGCAGCAGCTGCTTGCTATTTATATATACAGTTGGTGAGAGCTGTTTCAGCACACAGACCAGCAAACCTAAACAATGATTTGAGAGCAGCTAAGAGCAAGTCCTTTTTACATCACAGGGAGTCAGTTGATTGATTGTCAAATAAAAAGAAAAAC